CTATAGGGACTACAATCTCAACAGGTTTTTATTAATTTCCACGATTAAAACAGCCCTATAGGGACGAAAAAGTGGTCCCTATAGGGGTGAGATTTAGGTGGTCCATATAGGAGTTTAAGGTCTGACTCCTAAGCGTATGGGGTCGGTAAATTAGTCCCTAGAGGGAAACCTTCAAGGGCCCCTACGGTTGTCTGAAGTTCCTAAGCACTTTTTTAAAATCAGTCAAAACAAATCAAATGAAAAATTTGATCATCACTTTTTTTCTCAAACGTTTTTCATGCAGACTTTTCCTCACAAGGTTTTTTTTTGAACTTTCACAAGTACTCACCGTATCTTTGAGCGGCTCCCGACAGGCGGCACACCTCGCGACCTTGCGCTCGAACTTGAAAAGATAGTCCTGCTTGCAGAACAGACGGTCGTTCTCGATCAGGAACTCGTCGGGGCTGTAGTTTTCGGATTTGATTTGAGACTAATTCCAGTTCAAGTTCAATTTTTTTTTTGGTTATTACTTGGAGAAAAAAATTGACAGAGATCTTAAATAGCTACTCGAACCTCTCTAACGCAAACCGGACGTTTTAGGGAATTTCTAGTGATCACTTTAGGGGCGTCAGCTTCTCATGGCATTTCTATAGGTTAAATAACTGCTAGGGTACCGCTTAAGTTAGCACTGCAATCATAGGGATCACTTAAGAGTTCGGACACCGCTAAAGTGACCCCTAGGAATGCTCAGGAACGTCCGGGACGGGTCCGAGTTGCGCTACCGATGTCCAAGGCAATACCAAACAGTTTCCAATTTTTTTTTTCTATAACTTTTTTCTCTTACTCCTTTAATCGCGCTTTTTCATGTGGACGACCGCGCTGGCGATCAAAAAATTTCGAAAGTTCTCATGGCTTAATGGATAGAAGTCTTGAACAATAAACATTAGGTCCCTGGTTCAACCTCTCTTCAAGAAATAAATAACTTCTTTTTGAGTTATTTAGCAGATTCTATGTCGCTCACCTACACAGCAAACTTGCATTAGAAATCAATCACCCAGGATAATTTTTATTATATTTCCAAAAAAAGCTTCATATTTAGTTATCAAAAAAAATAAATGAATAAAAACCTACTTCAATGTTCGATTGCACACTTCGCAGACGAAGCAGTCATTGTGGTAGAGAGTTTCGTTGACTGAAAACCTTTCGTCTCGGTCCGTGACAGGCTCGCGGCAATTTGCACAACTTCCTGAATCGAAAACAGGGCCCTGACACGATAAAAACGAGATAGTGCCTGCCTAGTGGAGAGCACAGACAGGCCACGCCCCTTAGAGTGCCAAGCTAGGTAAGTACCGGCTATAGTCTGTTCAGATTTTGAATGTCAAGCCGTCGCTCAAGCCCCGCCCCTAATGGCGCGATAAACCAATCAGAGAGCGAGCCATCCACAGAGCGTTTTCGAATGACGTCATTTCACTTGACATGAAAAATGTGAACAGACTATATACTAATGAAGAAAGAAAATCGGAAAGAAACGAACCGACGACGATGGACTTTTCGAGGACGAGGTCCTGATGAAGACGCTCCGTCAGGACGTTCATCCGATCGTCCTGAGATTGCATCGAACGAGCCATGTCAGCCCACATGGCTGTCCTCTGCTCATTCACCGGTCTGAAAGGGATTTAGGATTTATCAAAGGAAAACCCCTATAAAATTTTTGACGGAGAAGTTTCTGAGATATCCATCAAAATTTGAAGCCTCTGAAGCACCGAAACCCTCTACAAACCGGCCACTTCTGAGCCGATTCTCAGTAAATTATCAAGTCTTTTAAACTTTCACTGCCCTTTTCAATGTGCCAAGTCGACTTAAAACCAACTTTCTGCCTAAAAATGATGGAATAGAGGTTCAAAACGCTCTAATCTCTTTCAGAAGAGACGCGAAACCGTTTATAATCGAGAAAATCAATAATTATTATATATTTCAGGAGGAATTTTCTCTTCTAAATTCCCGTACTTTTACCCTAGTACTTCAGACTCATACAATAAGGTTACATTAAAACTTGAAGGGCAAAAATCGAGTTTTTAATTCCAATCATCTACATCGACTTCAGACTCCGACTTAAACCGGCTTTCGCAGATTCAGTAAGTTTAAAAAAACTGCTTGAAGTCAGTTACTCATTATTCAAACCGCATCGCGACCGCGACGCTCCGAGCCATTCCAAAATAACTTAGAAAAAATTATCAAACGTTTTTCCGACACAAAACGGCTTTTGCAGGACTGGTAATTCTAAGAATACTTTAACAGCCTCAGATTATTCGAACCGCCACGCGACCGCGACGCTTCCAACCATTTCACCGTATTTTAGGCTGTCGCAAGTTTCCCTTGAGATATTTCACAGAGAGCTCGATGAAAAGAGAAAAAATTCTAATAAAAATTAATTTTTTTTCCATTTTTCGGACCCCGGGTTATGGAAAAAAAAATCATTTTCAAGTTGTTTTTCAACTTCAAAACTCACTTGAACATTGGCGGCTTGCCAGCTGGTGGCTTCTCATGCGGGACACGGACTTCATTCGTCGTCCGAATGTTGCTTTTTACTATAAATATCCGTTTGAAAAAATATTTTTCTGCGAAAACCATTTGGTTTTTTGACGAGTTCAGCCAGAGACTTCTCCGATCGCGGTTTGTTTTGTGAAGACGTGGAAGAAGCGCTCGGAGAGGTGATTCCAGACGCTCCGCGGAACATGACGTTGAAGGTTTTGACTGGACTTTCCGATCTCCGATCCTGAATTGGACATTTTTTGATTTTTCGAATAATTCAACCGAAGTGGAACTCCAATAAAAATCGAAAAAAGCGCTAATTCTGGTGAAGATTAGGTAGCTTGACACGATGATCTTAAATATTTTCTTTAAAAAAACCGGAAAAATCTGAGAATGGACGTTCAAAATTGCAATGAATCTTCAACTCTAGATCTGAGATTTTTAAAACTTTTGCGAGAAGAGATCGAGGCAAGCTGAAAAAATCGCGATTTCGACTTGAAAATCGACATTTTCCCTAATAGTTTTGCTTCAATTTTATCTTGTTGTGATTTCGTAAGCCATTAACAAATTATCAGAATGTTTTTTTGGAAATTTCAATGAATATGACGCAAAAAAGTTTTTTTCGTGCTTTTTCCTTCAATTTTCAATTATCTCCTCCAATTTGAACGTTTTTGTTTGATAATAGAGTGTAGAAAAATACAATAAAAAAGAGCAAAAAGAGTTTGACGTCAAGAGGAATCGAACCTAGCATAGCGTTAGCTCCATTCAAGAACACTACCACTTCACCACGCGCCCTAGAGGGTGCAGTGCACTCTGAGCGCGGTAATATGCGCGGCGGCAAAACTTCGACAAGCTTTTTCTCGGTACCCTATGGCGCTTAGTAGATTTTCTCCTATGGCTATCTAGCATTAAAGCCCAATTCATAACTCTTTGAAAAAAAATGTACCGAAACGGGAGAAATGCTGGATTTGTAGAGCGACGAGTAGTCGGCATAGGGAGACGGCCGATGGGTCTCGAAAGGACTCGTCGATTTTTGGCTCGATGCCGAGGAATAGTCCGAATTTTTGCGCTCGTGGGACACCAGGTCTCGCAGGGAGTCCGTGGTGTACGGTGATGGGTGCAAATTTGAGGAACTGTCCTGGAATTTGAAAAATTGAGACAGTTCAAATGGTTCTGTTTCAGACTTGAATTTTTTTTAACCATTGCTAGAAATATTGCAAAACGCTCGATTTCTTCGGTTTTTTGAAGTATAGCTGATTCACGGCTAGCATGGCTCGCTAAGGGGGCGTGGCTTGTCTGCGTTCTCCACGACCCACACACTATCTTGTGCATTATCGTGTCAGGACTTTTTTTCGATGGCTCAGACCGTGAATCAGCTATAGTAACTATGAAAAATTCTTTCTAAACTGATTTTTGCCGTTTTCAGAACCTTGAAGAACATAGAAAATTCTGAAATATTGCTGGCGTATTCCATTTAATGATTCCACTTAACTGCAAAAAAAGCATTCAAAAATTAAATAAAGACAAATTTTGAGCCACGGGGAATAGTTTGACATTGTCAACGTGAGATTACGGTTCATTTTTACCGTGGAATCAACGGCTGCGAAACGTCTGTTAAGGTCTACAATTGATTTTCAACGGAAAAGCAAACCGTGACGCGGCCCTCGTCGCTGTCGCTGTTCTCGTCGACTTTGCAGTGGAGCGGAGTTGCGGCGGAAATCTGGCCGTTGGCCAACTTCCTGGCGTAGTCTCGGGCGCTGTCGACCGACGACGACGGCGCGTGGTAGGCCTGGTTCCGGGGTCGGTTCATCTCCAGCACCTGGGGATATTATGTTTCATATTTCATTTCCAGGCTAGGATCTGAAGAGGCTTGAACTTTGATGCTCATATTTGAGATTGTAGAATATATTATGGATCTATAGTCCGTCCGCCGCGACTTGACAGTTTTCGCGTGTCTGCGTCTCTCTGTTCCCTCATCGGCGAGGTCAGAAAAACATGGAAATAGCACGTAAACATGAGAAGGACGTCGAGAGATAAGGAGGGCGCAGAGAAGTCCGGCTCTTTCAAAATGCACTATATCTAATTTTAAACGCCTTCCTAGTTATTTGTCGACTTTCAAGACATTGTTAACATATCTAATTTGAATTAAAGTGTATAATATTTAATAAGATAAGAGAGAAAACCAACGTCGTTCCTCCAGGACTGAACGTCGCGGTTGTCGATCTGTTTTCGGGCGTTTTTGACGCGATTCTCGTCGCCCAGGCGCACCATCCCGCTGTTCGACGGGAGAAGCATCTCGTCTTTGATTTTCTGCAAGAAAAATCTGATAAGAATCTGATTTTTCAAAACCAAGTCGAGCTGAATGAAGAATGGAATATTCAGGGGAAAGTCCAAAATGTCTAAAAAAGACTTTTGCAAAAAAAGGCCTCAAGGCGCGTTTTTTCTAGACTTTTTAAAAGAGTTCAAAATAAAAAACGGAAAAAAGTGGAAAAATTAGATTCCGTGAAACTTTGGACACCTTTTTAGGAACTCAAAAAGAAGCTTTAGGCTCTCTCTATATTTTTAAGACATTTTTAAAGTTTTTTAGAATTTTCCTGTGATCATATATATAGAAAAAACACGATCCTTGGCCGATTCTAGTCCAGAAAAAGGGTTGATTTTCGAAAACTCCAAAAATCAAGCTCTGAAGTTTTTTTCAAGCGAAACTCTTGGATTTTTCCATTACAAGGATTTTTTTATTTCAAGGGGTACTGAAAATAATGATTATTTATGAAAAATATACAGGAAAGCTGAAAATTTGAGAAAAATAGCTCTTTTACCGAAAAAATTGATATTTTGGCGGCTTGGAAAAATATTATTTTATAATCGGTTCATTCGAATATTATACTCATAAGAAGGGACTTCCAAAAAAAAAGCAATTTTTTTCAAGCAAAAAATTTGAATTTTTTAGCTTCAAACGGTACTGGAAAAGGTCAGTTCGTGAAATATTGAATCAAAAAAAAAAATAATAGAAAGTTTAAGAAAAAAATAAGCCTTTCGAAATCGTTAAAATTTAAAAATTAAGCATTTTAAAACCATTATACCTTCCCAAAACCTTGATATTTTTCACTAAAAAAAATCATTTCCATTTTTTATCTCAAAGTTTCAAAATCAAACGAAAATACGGACACAGAAGGGAAACAGGTTGAGGCCAATTTTGTTTGGAGGACGATTTGACGGATAAATACACTCAGGAAGGTCCAGAAACTGGTTCTCAACTCGTTTTTGGCGGGAATATCGAGAAATCGTGTGTTTTCGTGGGAATCGGTGCTAATTAAGTGGGTTCCGGGGTTCTCAAATCTTGTAGAAACTTGTATGATGAGTAGTAAATCTTTTGACTTGTTTTTAAATTTTTTCAGAGCTTCGGAGAGCTGATTAAGGAGCATAATTTCTGAAAAAAAATTTTAAAAAATCGGAAAAGTTCGAAAAAGGATGAAACTCAGGCTAGATTTCAAAAATATTCAAACTTTACTGGGAAAATTTTGAGTGGCCACTATAGGGTTTTTACGTTTTACTGGCCACTATAGTAGTCAAATTAGTGGCCACTTAAGGGGTTAAAAACTAGTGAACGCTATAGAGATCTAGGTGCTACTAATAGACAACTAAAATTCTTAGTGACCCCTTTAGGGATCAATGGATCAACATAACTGGTCCAATCTGTTTTTTTTTTTTTAAATTATCAGAGTTACTGGAAGGAATGGATGAAAAACTACTGAAGTGGCCACTAGAACGGAAAATAGTGGCCACTTTAGTGTCCTCTCCAAGAAGTCCTTGGCGAGCCTCTATAGTGGCCACTTCCCAGTTAGAAAAGGTTTTTTCGATAATCTCGAAAAATTCCGAAATTTTTTCGTCCCTTTTTCGAAATTCCAAATTCCTATTTAAGCTTTCACGCAACGCCTATTTAATGCTTGGAGAAAAAAAGTATAGCGAAAAAAAAAGTTTGCGCAACAGAATACAAACACGGCTGCACGGAAACGAGTCGAAAAGCCGACGAGACTAGAAAAAAAGTGAATTTTTGGCCGAACAGAAGAGGCAATTGAGCCTTGGAGATCGGTAGACCCAAAAGCAGGCCCACTCGACACATATACCGGCCGAATTTTTCACTTCGATCGCGCTTTGAACACGGTAAAATATTGGTATTGGCAGCCTCTAGGCATATTTATACGTAAAAAAAAATAAACCGATTTTTGGAGACCTTTTGAAGTGGCTAAAGAATTTTTTTAGTCGAGGAGATTGTTAATTTTACTCATTTGAAGAATTTCTGAGGGGTCTCTATAGGATTTTTAGTTTGAGTGACCCCTATAGGGGTTTAAGGTGTGATCCCTAAGCCTATAAAGCTTTAGAAAACCCTCATAGGGCTCCTATGGAACCCCCTATCTGAGCAATTTCTGAGGGCTCCCTATAGGGATTTTTAGTTTAAGTGACCCCTATAAGGGCCAAAATAGGGCTCCCTAGAAAAGTCAAAATTTTAGGGAGCCCTATAGGGGTTTAAGGTGTAACCTCGAAGCCCTCAAGCTTTAGGGGACCCTCATAAGACTCCTATGGACCCCTCAAAAGTTTCTCAGATTTTTTAAAAAATTCTAAAAATTCCAATTTTTCAACCCCTAAAACTCTATTTTTCCTTCTTACGCTCTTAGGAAAGCCAGAGTGGTCGCTATAGGGACTTGGGGCTTTTCTAGGTTCCCCTGAAGGGACAGGGGCGTTAAATTTCCAAAAATGGCCGCTCTAGGGTTTTTGTTGAAGCTCACTCTAGGGGAGCGTGCTAGTGTTTCCTGAAGATCTTTTTAATTTTAAAATCAGAAAGAAAAAGTTTTAAAATCCCTTAAGGAGCCTCTCAAGCTTTATGGACTTAGGGGTCAGACTCTAAACCCCTAAAAGGACTTAGGCATCCTATAGGAAGCACCTTTATGGGTTTTTTTTTCCCTAAGCCCTCTAGGGACCACTCTGGCGTTCATAAGGTGTTCAAGGAAGTAGAATCTTGAGAAAAGGAGAATTTATACACGTTGGGAACCTTAAGATCTTAGTTTGTTGCAACTTTTCAGAACAATTTCTTTTTTCCTTTTTTTTTCAATTGCCCAAAAAGTTAAAATACACTCTTTTTGAAAAAATGACTTCTTTGTTAAAGATTCTACTCAATTGTTCCATGAAATCTTTGTATCAAGGGGAAAAATTTATAGTGAAGTTTAAAAACTGCTCGGAAAACAGGAAACAACGGTAAAAAAAAATCTTAATTGGCAGAAAAAACACTTTAAAAAACGAGAAAGTTTCAAAAAAAAAAGGCGATTAAATGATCCATCGAGAAAAAAAAGGCGCAAGAACAGGACAAGGACGAGCGGAAGGTTGTCCAAAATCGCTCTCGGTTCACTTGTACCTCCTCGGTTCGCGCACTGTTTCTCATCCTTTACAAGGCGTTTGGCAAGCGGCACACCCATCAAATGGGTCACGCAAAACCTCAAAGTCCTTTTTTTGAGTGAAAAGATGTTGATCTTATTTGAAAATACTGGGATAATTTTAAGTGGGCACTATAGGGTTTTGACGTTTTAGTGTCCACTATAGTAGTCAAATTAGTGGCTACTAAATGGGTTGAAAATTAGTGGCCACTATAGAGGTCTAAGTGCTTCTACTAGACCACTAAAAATTTTAGTGGCCACTTTAGGGGTCAGTGGATCAACATAACTGGTCCAATATGTTTGTTTTAAAATTATCAGAGTTACTGGAAGGAATACGGGATGAAAAACTACTGAAGTGGCCACTAAATAGAGAGCCTCTTTAGTGGCTACTAATACAGAAAATAGTGGCCACTATAGAGGTGGATTTAGGGGCCACTTTAGTGTCCTCTCCAAGTACTCCTTGGCGAGCCTCTATAGTGGCCACTGGGAATTTTCCCAGTTTCTTAAAAAAAAGATAAGGCTTACCGTAAGTTTTTCAAAGTAAGAAATAAAAAAATATTTAATTTTTTTATAGCTTTTTTCTTCACAAATCTAAAATTAACAAAAAAATTGGATATAGTCAATGTTTCCCGGCTTGAAAGGGGAGGGAGGCGGGGCAAGGGGCGGGACGCGTAGCGTGTGCGTTCGCGGTTCTTGGCACGAGTTCAATTTAATTGCCTCCGAATATTTAAAAAAAGCTTGGCAACCACTCTTTTTCAATGTTTTCTATTACTTTTTTTGATGAACATATGAACATAAACAATAATTATTTGAAAAAAAGGAATGAAAAAAAGGCGAAAAAAATGAGCTCTCTGAATGCTCGCTGGCGGTTGAATTGAACTCTTGCCAAGAACCGCGTACGCACACGCTACGCGTCCCGCCCCTTGGCCCGCCTCCCTCGCCTTTCAAGTCGGGAAACATTGACTATAGTTATTCTCGAAAAACCCCGAAAAAGGGAGAAAATTGTCCCAAAAAAGGCCCGAAATTGCTTCAAAACAAAAAGAATCCACTGTTTCGAAGCCACTTTGAGGCGCTAATAAGCTTTCCATTTTTATCCTGGGAAAACTTTTAGTGGACACTTTAGGATTTTAGTGGCCACTATAGTAGCCAGATTAGTGGTTGCTCAAGTGGCTATAGTCTAGTGGCCTCTTCAGAACACAAAAATTACTATAGTGGTCACTAGGACGTAAAATAGGGACTTCTATAGACGTACTTCTAGAGTACCTTTTAAATGGTCCTTGAGAAACTTCTTAAGGGGTCACTGTAGTTTTTCGCAGTATGCCACATTTTCAAAAAATCTGGCTAACATATTTAAAGGAGCATGGCTTAAATTCAAAATGAAACTTAAGACGTAGAGCCGATTCTTGTGTTACTCTACGCCAGCAAAGATTTTCGAACCCCCTATACCCTTGAAAATGCGTTCCAATTAACATTCCATTCAATGCCCGCCGCGCACCATTTCAAAACACCTCTTTGTGGAGGAATTCAAAAAATTCGGAGGCCTTTCTGGAAGATAATGGGGTGTTCAAAGTGATTCCGCGAAATTAAAAAGATAACTTAACTGGGAAAACTATTAGTGGCCACTATAGGGTTTCGACGTTTTAGTGACCACTAGAGTAGCCAAATTAGCGGCCACTTAAGGGGTTAAAAATTTGTGGCCACTATAGAGGTCTAAGTGCTACTACTAGACCACCAAAAATCTTAGTGGCCACTTTAGGGGTCAATGGATCAACATAACTGGTCCAATCTGGTTTTTTTTAAAGTTATCAGAGTCACTGGAAGGAATACTAAATGAAAAACTACTGAAGTGGCCACTAAAACGGAAAATAGTGGCCACTATAGAGGTGAGTTTAGTGGACACTTTAGTGTCCTTTCCAAGTAGTCCTTGGCGAGCCTCTACAGTGGCCACTCAAAATTTTTCAAGTAAACTTGGTAAGTCAGAAAGAATTTTGAGCTTGAAAGGCTCAAGAAATGGTGGAAAAAGGGAGAAGCTGCAAAAATGGTGTATAAAGGCCCTTGAAGTGGTCAAAAAAGGCAGCAAAAAGGAACCATTCTATGGAGCCTTTTCCGACTTTGCCTGTGAAGGCATCAGATTCCAAAGAAGTATTAGAAAATTTTAAAAAAGTCTAACTAAATTCTACTCCTATAGTGACCACTTTTTCGTCTCCTAACACCTATAGGGACCACTCCAAAGTTCCTAAGAATACTCAAGTTGCTCTGAAACAGAAAATTTAAGTTTTTTTTCTCTTCTTTTCAATATTTTTCTTAACTACAGCTTTGAAAATCCAAGACAAAATAAAAAGCCGAAAGAAAAAATCAATCGAAATATGTTACTGAAAACTCAGAGCCACCAGCAAACCTCATAAAACAACAAAAAAAATCGGCGGCGCTCAGAAATGATGGGGTGAACGTCGAAAAATTGCCCCTAGAGTGACCTTGAATAGTCGCTACTTTTTTTTTCGTTCGCGGGATTGTTTTTCTGTTTTTTCATCGTTCAGGCTCATGAAACGGTTCAGAAGAAAGGCTTGGAATAAAAAAACCGATTTTCTTTTGGGTAGAAAAGAAAACTTAAATTCAAATTTTTTTAGGAATCTATCGAAAATTGCCTAAAAAGGTACGTGATACGGACAAGAAAAAAACTTGAGAATGAAAAAAAAAAACAAATTTTTGTTGGAAAGAGAAGACAGTTTATATTTCAATTTTTTTTCTGGATGTTTTTTTAAAAACATGCCCAGAAAGGGTCATGAAACAGTTGTGCATTAAAAAAACAAAAAAAGATCGAAAAAAATTTTTGAGATTTTTTTATTGGAAAAGGGGAGGAAGTCAAAATTCGATAATTTTTCCTGATATTTTTCAAAAAAATTTTTCCCGGAAAGGTACATGAAGATGTTGAGGAAAAAAAGCTTGGAAATTAAAAAAATATGACAGATTTTTCTTTTTGGATAGGGAGGAAAGTCTAAATTCAATAATTTTCTTACTAATCTTAAAAATTTTCTCGGAAAGGTACATGAAACTGTTGTAGGACAAAAAAACTTAAAAAAATTGAAAATGACAGAATTTTTGTTGGAAAGGGAAGAAAGTCTAAATTCAATAATTTTTCTTGCAAATTTTTAAAAATTATCTCGGAAAAAGTACATGAAACTGTTGTACAGAAAAAAAAAACAAAAAAATCGAAAAATTTTGAGATTTTTATTGGAAAGGGGAGGAAGTCAAAATTCGATAATTTTCCTGATATTTTCAAGAATTTTCCCGGAAAGGTACATGAAGTTGTTGAGAAAAAAAGCTTGGAAATAAAAAAATGGCAAATTTTCTATTGGATAGGGAGGAAATTTTTTTTATTTTCTTCGGGAATTACTAGAAAACATGACCAGAAAGAGTCATGAACAGTGGAAAAAAGCTTGAAATTTAAGAAAATGACAATTTTTGTTGGAAAGAATCTGCCCAAAAATTTTTTTGATGTCCTGGATTATTCAAAAATCTCAACCGGTTCCTAGTTTTCGAAAAAGTAGAGCTCAAAAGCAGAGAAAACCGTGAAAGGTCTGTCAAATGGTCCATTTTGAGACCTTGAGATTTTAAGAGAAATAGGAAATTTTATAGGTTGTAACTTTCTAGGACTTTATTCACTACAACAAGAAAAATCTTCGAAAATTCCCAGAGTGGAAATTAGAACTATCTCCATGTGAAACCACACTTCGAAGAAAAAAAAGGCAGAGGAATAATTGAAAATCTCGGCCTGGGAATGAGTCACGCCGCGCGATCTTCACGCAAAATTCTTCCCTTTCCGGTGAAATGACGAATCGAGATTCCACACAAGGGACACGAAAAATCGTAAAACCGCAGTTTTCGTAAACATTCATGGAGATGGCAAAAAAGCGAAAAACTGTGGTTTTTCCAATCGAAAAATCTACTTTTTATTTTTTTCAAAATACGGATTTTTTTATATATTAGTTAGTTAGACTATAAATTAATAAAATAGAAGCTAAAGTATCAAACTAACGTTAAATATCTTCTGTTGACACTACTAACGCTAATCTTCTGAAGACCTTCATAAGTATTTGCCCCCTTGGGAATGAACATAACTAAATTTCTCTACTTCTAGTTCACGGGCAAGGTTCACGGCAAAAGATCCTAAAAAAACCTTTGAAGGCTTCTAAAGCTCCTTTTTTGACCCTTTTTAGAAGAAAAAACGGCTGAAAAAAGAGGATTCAGAGAAACTTCCGACACCTTTTAGGAACTAAAAAAGAAGCTCTAGATTCTTCTTTCTGATTTTTTTTTCTTTTTTTGTTTTTTTTTTTTTTGAGACGTTTTGGACTGTGTCCGCTGTTCTTTCTCTTCCAATGAAGGCTTCCGTTAATTACTTTACTTCTAACTTTTCTGAATTTATTATTTTTTAACTGCTCAAAAGAGTGATAGCTCGAAAATTTTCATGTTTAAAAAAACCTGCTGCTTGTGAATATTGATCTTGTCCAACTTCCAGGCAAAATCCTGTACTCGATCGCTTCCGGAGAGCAACTTCTGCTGTGGCGGAGGCCGTCCGAACGCGTTCAACTCCTCGAGAAAGCCGTTGGTGTTGAACTCTCTCGCCATTTTTTCGAATATCTGTAAATTTTCAATGTTTTTTGGTCAAGAAACTGATTTAGAAAAAGGTTTTTCGAAATCTTTGAAAAGTCAAGGAAAAAAAAATAAAAAACGGAGGAATCACTAGAAGCGGATCAATCCAAGTTTTTAAGATTGAATTTTAAAAACTCTGAATATTTTTAAGAAGCAAAGAAATAATTTGATAAGAGTAGGCCGTTTTTTGCGTTTTTTAACTCAGACAAAATATTTTTGGGTCACGGAAAATCAAGTTCAAATCACCATAATTCCATTTTTTCTTAACTCTCCAGGCAACTCCAAAAAGTTTCCTATTGAGAACATGATGAAAATTGACTGATATGTCTTTAACACACCCCCCTTCAAAACAAGTCTAAAAAACGTCTAGACGGAATTACGATGCCTACCATTTTCAAATCCACCGATTCAGTGCACAAAAAGGTTTTTGAGAATTTACGACGTCATAAAGGCGCAGTTTTTCCGGCTGATTTCGAATCAAGGCGTCATAAAACACTCCTCATCCAGGTTTCGTTTAATCTACTTTTTTGAAATTCCCTAGTGAGAGAAGAAGTTAACGTAGTTATATTCTGTGTGCCACGACTTGAAATATCACGGAACGACAATCTGCTGTTCCACTGCGCGCCTTGTGAACCTTGGTCATGCTTTTAACTTTTTCTTTTATCAAAGTACTCTACTTTCATGTGCTCCCACAGCAATAACATTCAATTGAAAGCGTGACCTAGATTCGAAAAACGCTTCGCGAACGCACGCAGCGGAACAGCGGAATCTCGTACCGTGAAATTTCAAGTCGTGCCACACAGACTATATAATAGGAACCTTACTTGGAAAATTATTATACTAGACAAAAATCTACCATTTTAAATGAAAAAAGAGATTGGCCTCTTGTAGCGCCCAGAAAAAGAAAGAACAGGTCGAAAATGATAACATTCAGAACAGAAAAAATGGTTAATTAGATTTTAGGAATAAATGTTCGAAAGTGATTAAATAACGGACAAAAATTAATGAAAAAAGACAAAAATCCGTAATTCAGATGAAGCAGGAGTTCTTCTGCATCCTGGAACACCCAAAAAACAGAGGAAAAAAAAAGAAAAAGGGGAAAATTATTAACTTCAGAACAAAAAATACTGGTCTATTGGATTTCACGTATAAATTTTTACACTGAAACCGATGGCCGGTTCGATTTCAGGAAAATATTTTATAACATTATCTAGAAAAAAATATGTTATTTCAGATGAAGCAAAAAGTTCTGCATTTTGTGACGCAGAAGGAAAAAAATAATTCAATTATTCAGAACAGAAAATACTGGTCTATTAGACCTTATGTATAAATTTTACACTGAAACCAATAGCCGGCCCAACTTCAGAAAGCTATTTTATGAAATTGTCTAGACCGTTATTTTTAATTATGAAAGAATTTTGCCCCTTGAAGCATCTAGAAAAAAAGATCAAAAAAAGAAAAAGTCGAAAAGGATAAGATTCAGAACAAAAAATACTGGTCTATTGGATCTCACGTATAAATTTTACACTGAAACCAATGGCCGGTTCGATTTCAGGAAACATTTTTTACATTAAAATATGTTATTTCAGATGATGCTAGAGTTCTGCTCTTGTGACCCAGAAAGAACGAAAATAAGTCAATTATTCAGAACAGAAAACACTGGTCAACTGAACCCTGTCTACCTCTCCAAGCACCCAGAAAAGATAAAAATAAATCAAAAATTACGATTCTCAGAACAGAAAGCATCGGTTAATTGGATCCTACGTTGACCTGAAACCGATAGCCGACCCAACTAGGCGCGAAAAAGCTTTTAAGGCGAGTAAATACACGGGGGGGGGGGGCAGAAGCTCCGATCATGAAAGCGCATATTCATACGGGCCGAGATTTGATTGCTTCTTCCTTGTCGGCAGGTTCTCCATTCGGAGCAAGGTCTTGCAAATATTGCATGAGGACATGTGAGAAGATGTCGTGACTTGCATGGAAGCACGCATGAGCACAAGGAGACGGAGTTTTGAAGCGTTGGAAAGGAGTCAAGCGTGAGAAAAGTGGAAATAAAAACTCCCGGGGATATGTTCCGGAAAGGTGACATTTTTTCGACCCCAGTTGAACTTTTATATGTTACTAATATACACAGTTCTTGAATTAGAACATCTATCACGTAGGAACTCCATAGTAGTCCCTATAGAGGCGACCTCAGGATCCCTTGGAGAGAGCCCTATAGGGGCCACTAAAGCTTGCAAAAGTGGCCATAATAGTCGATAATTGTTATGAACCGTAGGCGAAGAAGCATTTTAATTAAAAATGAATAAATAAGCTTTTTTTGAATTTTATTTGGAGACCCCTATAGGGCCCACTTGAGCTTTAGGGGCTGAGACGCTGAACCTCTATAGGGACCACTTTTTCAACCACTGTAGGGGTTTTTTTTCTTCCCTAACCCCTATAGGAACCACTCTGGAATTCCGAAGTATAGTCTTTTCATAGCGAATTGAAAGAGTTTCTCTGCGCCCTCCTCGTCTCTCTTTTTGACGTGCTATTTCCATGTTTCTCTGACCTCGCTGGTGAGAGAACAGAGAGACGCAGACACCAGAAAATTTTCAAGCCGCAGGACTATATTCTTATAAGTAGAAAAAAATATAGCAAGAGGAAACATAAAAAAAGAAAAATCTACCGTAATACACGTCTATTTTTGAGCTTTCGCTTCGAGAACCGCAAAAACGGGTCTTAAAGCGAAATTGGCACTAAAAGATACGGTTTTTGGCAAAAATGACAAGCTGACTTGTCCTATATTCTCCTAGCTTGAAAATCTTCTGAAAACTCTAAAAAAAAATCAGATCGTTTTAACATTCCATATTAGGCTTATCAGTGATTCCTGCCAAAACAGAAGAACTTCAAAAACAAGAAAGGAACTGTTTTCGGAGGGAAAAGTGAGAAAAAAGAGGTCGACGGCGGCGAACGAATAGGAAAGTCATCAGCGGACGCGTAACTCTGCAATTATCGGATCGCCTCCGAAAAAAAAATGGATCGAAAGAGTTACCTCGTGGTATGATTTCCCAATTTTCAAGTTTCACTTCTGTTTTTGATGACTTTTTTTTCTCAAAATATATCACTTTGGAATAAAATAATTATTTAAGTTTTCCAGGAAGCCCTTCGGAGTATACTTACAAGGAAGGACCTTCCAAGAATCGCTCTGAACACGGCATAACGGATCAATAAATCAATGAAAACTGAACGAAATACGAAACTTGTGAAGGAGGAACTAGGCAGGCTCCGTGAGCCAAAATCGATAAATGATAATACGCCGAGGGCGAGGGTGATAGACCTCATAAGGCAAATATTATGCGGAGGGACGCCATTTTTGGAATTTTTGCGGTCTGAAGCGTTACGAAACGATTTTGTAGAATGGAATTTTTGGAGTTTAATGTTTCGAAATCATCATTTCAAGACGGCGTTTTTAAAGATACGAAGTAGAATTATATAATACAGAAGTGTCAGAGGATTAAATTTAATTATTTTTTTAAACTCTGAAGTCCGGTAGTTGTTTTAGCATATGGTTCAGAAAAACCTATAATTTTGCTTAAAAAAATATTCTTGATGAACCAAGAACGAATATTGCACAAACTTCATCTTCAAAAATTATAATTTTGACTAAAGTCCTGAAAAACGCGGGTTTACCCAGTCGACTACCAGTTCCGGAAAAAAATCTCTATTGGCCACTTAAGAGGCCCCTCAATGACTACTTGGAGAGGACACTAAGGTGGTCACTAAAACCACCTAGTTATTGTTTTGCGCTTTAGTGGCCACTATAGTAGTTTTAAGCGGTCTAGTAGTACCATTTACTAGAGAACGCCCCCACTTGAATTTTGATGAAACTTCGGTGAAGGGTACTTTAAGACTTCCGGATTGCAGAACGAGAAAAAAAATCCTTGCAATAGATCTCGTTTTCGAGTCATAGAGCTTCAAAGTACGCAAAATACGCCAATTATGACAAAAATCGTAATTTCAGGCTTTTAAAGCGTCCTAACTCGAAAACGTGAACTATTGCGAGAGATTTTTTTGTTCCGTAATCAGGAGGTCCTGAAGTACCTTTCAGCAAAGTTTCATCAAAAGTTCAACCTGGGGGGTAAAAACGTTCCATAGACCGCCACTAATTCTACAACTCCAGTCAGTGGCCACTAGAACGTCCAAACCCTAAAGAGGCCACTGATCATTTTCTCAGAATTGAAAAAAACACCGATCACTCTTCATGAGAGATCTGTAACGAAAGTGCAAAAAAAGACAAAAAAAACAAATTAAATGAAATCAAATGAAAATAAGCACCTAAAGTCCCCGTAAAAAAAAACACAGAGAGATTTTTTTTTACAATTGTTTGGAGAGTTGAAAAATATTTAGAAAGAAGATACGGAACAAATGCGACAAAGACGAAGCCCAAACATGGGGCGAGATGGCAGACGGGCGGTGCCGGTCTTTACGTAAACATTACTCACAATAGAGACCGACCCGACGTGACCCCAAACTTTCTGCCTTTTTTTCTCATTCCACGCAGATTCCCATGAAAATAACCTAAGAAACCTCTAAATTTCAATATTTCTGAAATTTTTCATAAAACAAAATGGCTAGGAGAAAAATTATTTTGGTCGGAATTTCAATTTTCTTCCTAACACGGGAAGTGCAAAAGGTCGAGGTATTGGAATTTAATGAAACTTGGTATATAGGTACTTCTGAACACCCTGAAACCAAAGCAGTCAAAAAAAGTGCGCCTTTTTGGTTCAAGTCGAGTTATGAGGCCTCAAAGTCACTGGATGGAAGAAGGGAATGTGTTGCGGCGACTAACTCTAGCTGTTAGCAGGCGGCGTGGTGTAGTGGCTAGCGGCCTTGCGCTGTGGAACTTGTGATGAAGGTTCGAATCCTTTTCGGTGCAATTTATTTTTGCCAATTTTTTTCTTGAAGAAATGATGAAGTTTTGAAGATATTGAAAA